ATTGTTGTTGACCCTACTTCCCAAACCCTAAACCTTGGGTTATTCCCCCTTTCAGTAACAGTTACCACAAGGGGTAATAGGAATTATAATAGCCCCTTAATAAGGCCCCCTTTAAGGACAGTTACTGGGTGGGAGAATGACCCAACCTAAACCCAAATATGCGGGCTCCTCTCAAGGTCACTGCCCGAGCCTTCGTGGCCAGGTTCTCCTTTTGCTCCAAAGTCTTTGTTCTCAGCCAGCCACGCGGTTTAGGGTTTAGGGTTTAGGGGCAGGCCAGGGTTGAAAATGCACACACACGAACAGATCCAAAGCGGCTCAGGCTCTAAGCAAGTAAGAATGACAAAGAAGATTCATGGGTTCCCCTACTATGCCCCCCCGCCCCCCCCACCCTGGTACTACCCCCCAGGTTCCGTCTTATTTTCCTTCACCCTAGTCAAGCTCGATTATCCCTAACCAACCTTAATTAAGGGTGGTATAGGGGAGGTAATTAGTAAGGAACCTATGAAAGATACTCAACCCCGAACCCTAAACCCTAACCTTAAATCATCCTAAATCCCTAAATCCCTAAATCCCTAAATCCCTAAGCCCTAAACCCCTAAACCCCTAAACCCTAAACCCCTAAACCCTAAACCCTAAGCCCCAAACCCTGAGGTGCTCTAAGCTCCAGGCTGGTGGATGGGAGTACTGGCTTTGTCGGATGCCTTTGTGCTGCCTGGCGTAACTCTAAGGGAATTGGAACCCCAGTAGAAATTATAATTTCAGCTAAATATCAGGATTGTTGGTAACAGAAATTAACAATTATTTTCAGGAACCTTGTAGGTAAAATTCTGGCTGCAACCATGCTTTCTTCTTCCGCACGACGGGGGGGACGCCAAAAGGTATAACCAGAGACCCAAGATGTCGAAAATCCAAAGCTAGGCCTGCAAAACCTTCTGAGGCTGCTACTGAACTTCCAACACCCAGCAAAAGCAGTTTCAAAAGGGTTTGCAACAGGGTTTGCCTCTCAAGCTAAAATTGAAAAAAAACTGAACGGGCGAGATGTCCAAAACAAGCGAAATGTTGAATGAACACCGAAACCCCTTTTATTAAACACTCCGTCTGCTCTTGTTTCCTCACGAAACAGAGATTCTATTCAAAAAGCCTATAAGATTTTGACGCCTGCCAACTTACCAACATGCGTCTAGCCAATCCAGAATAAATATTGTTTCTGGGGAAACCCTTTTCAAATCTAGAGGTGCGGCGAGTAGGGGTCGAGAGTTGGCTTATGATGAAGAGGATCCAAAACTTTCGAGTTCTTTCGGCCAAGCAAGAACATTGGGGAACTTGGAACCATAGGAAAACATATATTCTTTGCTGTTCCTTAGGATTATAATAAGCAAAAAAGGTAAAACATATTTCCAAGTACCCCTAAGAGAAGGCTGGCCGTTCTGGTCCGTCTGCTTCTTGGTTGACAGAGGGCGCCTGACCTTGGCAGAGGCCAGAAATTTCACGCTGCCTGTAATAGCCTGCAGACTCTGGATGTGATGCATGTCCCATGTATATCCCCCTTCACAACCGCTATAATACTCCCTATAGAATCCTCTACTATACTCCCAAATAATCCTCTATAAGCTCCCCTTTATAATCCCCTTTCAGGAGTTTAGAGAAGTCACAGGCTTCAATTTAATGGTGAGGTTAGATTGGGATAGTGGAAAATAAAATTGAAACTACTATTTAGGGTTTAGGGTTAAGGGTTTAGCGTAATAACAGGAAGGACAAACACACGGATTTCCTATTAATGAACTTTACTGAGCATGGGTATTAAGAGTGGAACCTCAAGCCGTAAAGCCTCTATCATGGGGCCTTGGTAGCCCAGTAACCATATCACAATAAGGGTACCCTTTTTTCTGTTGGTACATTATATATGGGAACCCAGAACCCAAAAAGGGTAAAAAGGGTACCACTGGGGTTCCTAGGGGCGCCCACCCAGGATGCTCCGTCATCCCATGAGATCCTGCGCGCTTCAGCTGAGCCATTATCTAAACTCCTTAAAGGGGGATTGTATAGGGAATTATGTAGGGGATTACTATAGGGGTTATTAAGGGGGATACTAGGAGTTTAGACTATAGCTCAGCTGGTGTCTAGCTCGAATCTTCAGGCAACTAGACTTTGGGGTGGTAAGTAGGTAGAATATGAAAATGGCCAATATTGCAATCTCCCCATATACCCACTTAAGGGTGACTGTACCTTTCAGAGGTCTCCATGATTACGATTATTAGCACATTAGGGTCCCCCTGCTAATGGAAAGTACCTCTCATTCAAACCTCATTCTGTGCACAAAGCACGACACAGGCCCCATGTCCTGTCAGAAGCCGTCAACTTGCCCTCGAAAGCTGGCGCACCTGGTGTAGAAAAGCTGGCCATTTCAGTAGAGGGGCCCCAATATAGATCCCAAAATGCTATAAGCCTTCTTATTGGGTCCCCGAAATGGGATCCTTAATTTTCGGAAACCCGCGTATAGACCCCAAACATGAGAAGAGGGCCACGAAAGCTAGAGGCAGCAGTGGAAGCCAGAGAAGCCATGCTTTTCCATAGCTGATGTGTCGAGCAACAGCTTTCGAGTAAAATGTAATTGCAAGCCTTGCTCAAGGGCCTGAAGTGTAAGCGGTGGGAGGGCTCCCCCATTCCTTTTCATCAATTCTTGAGGCTGTCTCGGTGAGAGGAGGGGGGGGGGAAGCTAGGGATGGAATCAATCAAAAAGGGGTGGGGAAGGCCCCCCGGGAGACACCTGAAAATTGACGCGGAGCCACATTTTCAACGACCTTGAGAACCTGTAAACGGGAGCTACTGTAACATTCAAGAGAGCTAGCTTTCGTGATAAGCCTCATTCTTGGGACCCCCAAACAAAGGTGCCCCTAATTTTGGGAAACCCTAAACCACTATACATCCCCAGTTTCCAATTCATCTTCCGCGTTCTTTTCCATGTGATTCTCGACTCTTGAGATTATATTTCCTCAAGTTACTACCCTAAACCCTACATAGTAGTTTCCATTATCCCTATATGCATGATCCCGACATTATCCCCATATATACCCCGAAATCGGGCCATAAGCCTGATTGAGGCTTTCTGTTTTTAAGGCCTAAACCCTAAACCCTAAACCCTAAGCCCTAAACTCTAAGCCCTAAACCCTAAACCCTAAACCCTAAATCTTTCTGCTTTCTGAAGGCTTACTGGCTTCCACCCTAAACCCTAAGCCCTAAAGCTTGACCTGGGCTCGGAGAGAAGACAACGGCATCAGGCCGAGGGAAGGACACCTTGTCCCATGACGATGGCAGTTTTTTGACTTGCTTTTATGATGGTTGCTAGTATTATGAAACTCATATGACTACTTTGAGGATTTCTAGTATTCATGAAATCTGTTGTTTAGATGATTTGATGATGGGTGGTGGAAATGGTGTTGCTGGTGAGTAGGAGGATAAAAACGCGAATGCTGTGTGATCGCATCATCCCTGTTTAAACTCCTTGGTAGCGGGGCATGCCTCCACCTCCACTCCATCGGGTCCACGGATGCGGCGGTCTTTAATGACAACCTGGGACATGTGCTGCGTATTACCGAGGCATTGATGAACATCCTACTACTGCCACCATCTGAGTCACAGGCAACAGTTCCGTCATTGTCCTCCCACTCCCCATCGATGCAGAGGCTATGAACCTCAGCAATAACAAAGCACACGCCCTCAGCACCCCCCAAAAATGCAGCAGGCCCATTGCTGTGTTCCCGATCCCTTTGGGCCGTGGCGGGGTTAGCAGCTGCTGCTTGCTGCTGAAGCTTCTCCTGCAGGTGCTGCGACGCATAACCGTGGACAATGCGGGGTAGCAGTGACTCTCAGTCTCAGGCGCTGCCGGAGAACTTCAAAAGCATGCAATTTCAAGAAAATGCTTTGCACATGAGTGACCAGGCGAAGCTTGCAAGCGACTCTACCTGCGCTTTGCTGGAACATGCATCTTGCAGAAACGCAAAAACTCCCTCCTCAATCTCGTCGAAGTCAAACATCTGAAAGATGGATCCATCACCGCCACTCAAGCTATAAAGTTCCCCTCAGGGTGTTTCTGCTGAGCTAGCCCTTGTGTCAACCTAAGAGGTTTCTGCATGTTTCTGCCTGGTCATAATTGCTGCTTACGTCGTTTATGAAGGGCTCGTAAATTGGCTCTGACTGAAGGAATTATCACGCTCCTGCTGGTTTCCTGACCTATACACATTTTCTGCCTGAACTGCTGTTCTCATTTGAGCGACTGGAGGCGGTGCATGCTACTGAAGGCGGTGTTTCGCATCTCAGTCATCCGAGGTTCTACGACAGAACTGAACCGGTCAGTTCTTTTGCGAGGGCTAAATTCTTCGTTTGCCAAATCAGTCGCTTATGAAACCGGACAGCTTGCGATCAGTTTCACTGGACGCCTGTCTCAAACTCTCTCTAACTGGTCAAGAACATATTGCGGAAGCCTCGAAGCCTAATCATAGTGCACGCTGCCTTGGGCGGCTTCACCCATGCAGCTTTGAACTTGGGCGCACTGACGCTCCAGAGACGCATTTCCAAACTGGTGCCGTCAAAGGCTTCCATTGTCCATCCCAACTCGGTGCAAGTGAATTACATCAGCGCATCAAAGTCTGTGATGGCTGGCCTACTTGTAACTCGGCACACTTCAGTATCCAAACCTCAGCGACCACTCCACATCAGGGCTTCCCTCGCACGCGACTGTGACCCCATGCCAGGCAAATTCCGCATGATTAAAAAAGCAAGGCCCGCTCTGAGCCACGCCATGGGGGAGGTATCTATAGCACATACTGGCAGTACATGGGGTATTTAATCATAATCTAATAATCACCATAGCGCTTGAATTTTGGAGAATCAAGCGGAGAGCAAACTAAGCAAAAAAATCCTGCGTGCAAGGAAAAGCCTCCCAGCGGCTCGCATGCAGGCATCTCGAGTTAGCCCCGGGAGCCCCCATCTGAGTTACGCACTGGGTTCTCGGTCCTGGCAGTCTGCCCAGCATCATTTTGGCTGCCTGCAGAGAAGCGCCAAACACGGCACAGGACCTGCTCTACTGCTTACACTCTGTAACTTGTTTGCATCACCAAGCTTTTTTTCGGTGTCCGAAACCAAGCAGTAGGCTGGGCCAGGCCTCTCGTCGGGCTCCGATGCTGTAACGCGGTCCATGGGGTCCATCTCCCGGCATATAGTTGGGGCCTGCGACGGCTGATGCTAAAGCAGTGGCCTCTTTCTTGAAGACTTTCTTTGAAAGATCTGAATTCTAGAGTAATCACCTACCATAGGTGGGGGGATACATAGGGAGCACAAGGGATTGTACATGTAGGGATAATGAATGGAAAAATGGAAACTACTTTTTAGGGTTTAGGGTTATATGGGGATATATAATCCCAATCCCAACAATAGAGAAACAAATGGAAAGGAAATGGAAAATGAAATGCAAACTGGGTATGTATAGTGGTTTAGGGTTTGACAAAATTAGGGGCACCTTTTTGCAGGTCCATAATAGAATATGTTGGGGTCCAGCTTGGGATGTCCTGATGTATGCAAACTACTAAGCTTGAAGCCGCGCTAATCGTACATACTCCCAAAGGTGCCTCCTCCCAAAATAGCACCATACCTGAACACTAAACCCTAGTCCCCTAATCCACAACCCTAAAACCCTAAACCTCTCTTTCTCATGAACCCTAAAACGCCAAGTAAGCCCTAGACTCTACATCCCTGACCCCTACACTCTTCAAACCTACAACCCTAGAAACCCTATACACCCTCTAAACCCCAAAACAACCGTCTCATAACCAAGGCTTTTCACAGGGGGCTCACGGGTCTGCCTGGGCTTCGGCCCTTGCCGTCATCAAAGGGAGCGCTGTTGGGCCGCAAATTTGGAGCATCGCCCCACCTTCATGATAAACGTGGATGAATATCATCTAATGGCACTCTTACTATTGCTAAGAATTGGTAGTACTTTGTTGTTTGTGTTACTAAGATATCCATGTTATGAACACTGCTAATGTTGTAACAAATATGTTTGACACTATCGTCGCTATTACTCTTATCATTAATAGTACTATTGTTGCTATTCTTGTTTTGGTGGGCTTCGGGGCTGGGCCTCTCAGTGGTGCAGAGGTTCGAAAGTGTAGTCCATGTCATCGGGGGTGAATTTTGGTGGGGGAGGTTCCTGACCACCTGCTATACTTACCAAGTAAATCCAGGCAGTACTTTCCACAGTTCTTTGGAGTGTGGGAAATATACATTCTCCTCTGTGGCCTGATCGCCTCCTGCTGATAGTAGATATTCCCCCTAGGATATAAGGAGGCAGGGCATTTTTTTTTGTAGGGGTATGTACCCCTACAAGATCTGCGTACTCGTTTAAAGATGGTATTTCGGGAGAGCGGGGATCTATCATCCTGATAAAAGCCAGTACAGTATGTACAGTGTAGTACCGCTCGCTATATATGGCGGCTCGGAACACTTTTTGGTAGCTGGGTGTACTTTTAGCAGGAAGTGATTTGACGAAACTACCAAAGGTATGAACCAATGAACAAATGATACAGGAAACCATAGTGCTAGCGTAAAATTCAGAAGCTACAGCCGTATAGCGCTAGCATGCGAATTTCGAAAGCTACAGCCTGATACGGCACTTCTACAAGAAGAATGATACGGATTCGTGATAAGCAAAGCGACTGGGCCTTCCAACTTTGCCTCTGAGGGTGCTTCGCGGAGGTCCATAGTGGCCAGGACCTGCCAGTTGGAACCAAGTTACCCAAATGATGGAAGATCAGGTGGAAGATGACATGAAAGCTGGCTGTATAGTGGTTGATAGGGATGCAAAATCCCTGAGCTCTTTTGATTCACTTTCTGGATAGGCTGCTGGAATCCCTGAGCCCTGTAGTCCCCCTTAAGTAGATAGAATATGGCTTGGGGTATATTATAATAAGATCCCCATATAACCCATATTCTATCTACTTAAGGGGGACTATATACTCTAAAGCCTTTTTGGGTGTCCGTGTCCAGGATCTGTGAGTTGGACCAGGGTTAGACCGGCTAGTACCCAGACGGCCTGAAGGATCTGAAAGATGGAACCTCCCAAGAATCCCTAGTTTCCCCAAGGTAGTAATGAAATGGTGTCATTATGTGTCATGGTTGTAGCGGGGCTATTTTTTTTGGATCTCATTGGGAATGAAGCGCGCAAGACGGGAGCTGGTACTGCAGAGAACTTCCGTCCAGCCCACAGATCAACATGCCGCCAGGGGAATACAGGTGATGATGGGAATTGAGATGCATGGTTTTCTAAATTTCTGCTGTCTACCGCGCCCGCTCTCTTCTTCTAGAGGCCACGCGAGCCATAGTCTAATCTCCTAGTCTCTTACATAATCCTTTATATAGCCCCCTTTTGGGGAGTTGAGACCCTAGCTCACACGAACCCTTACGAGGGAAGTCGGGCTTGCACTTGGTGGTCCAGCCTGTTCGCCTGTTTAAGGCCCTCAATACTAGGATCCCCACTATAGTCCTTATTCAAGGGAGGGGGCTTGGGAATAATGAGGGGTCTACATTAGGCCGAAATGCTAGCAGTTCTTCCCCCCGACCTTCCTTCCACTACAAAACCAGTTCCACACCACTGATATGTATCGGGCTCACAGAACCACTTTCCTCCTTACTCCAGCGGTTTGTGCAACTTTCCCTTCTTCTTTGCTGTGAGCTCACTTAAGCAACAAGAAGCGTGCACTCTCTTCTTGTTGTTCTTCTATTCTTCTTCTTCCTCTCTCTTTTTTCTCTTTATTTCACAGCTGTGACCCCTCCCGCTTCGGGAGGAGCTGAGGCAGTGCAACTGAGCTTCGCACCAGGCCCCAGAGAGCGGGACTTGTCCTTCCCGCGCCCAGCCTGGCAGCGAAAACTGCGGGCGATTCTGGGGTTAAAGGGGTTACATAGGGGTTACATAGGGGTCATTTATAGGGGTCATATAGGGGTTATACTGGTGTCATATCAGGAAAATATTGCGATAATGGAAAATAAAATGGAAACTATTGTTATAGAATAGGGGTTATATACTGGGGTTATGTTCTAGGCACAGGGTGCCCTAGTGACCCCTGTAAGTAAGGTACACGCAGGCAGTATGGGAGTGGATTTGTCAAGGCCCTGTAAGTGCAGTTTGGAGAAGCCAAGATACCATAATATACCAATAATATACCATAACATACCAATAATATACCAGTAATATACCATTAGTATACCATAATATACTACGAATATACCAATAGTACACCAGTAATATGCCAATGATATACCATAATCTACCATAATATACCAACAATATACCAGTAATTTTCCATAAGCTACCCTGATAGACCTGCAATATACTCGAAATGTCTAGTCTTGCTACCATCTTGGCCAACTCCGGCTGCATCGCAGAGCTGCTTCAATCAATGCCAGCCGGGCCGTTGAGTAGGCTGGTGACCCTTTGAATGCCACCTTGCTTGGAATATTAGGGTTATATAGGGATAATGGAAAATAAAATGGAAACTACTATTTAGGGTTTAGGGTTTACGGGTTGGAGGGTCAGGGCGACTGAGTAGGTAGGTTAATAGGGGGGATAACTGGGGTTAATATATGGGTTATTAACCTACTTGCTAAGTCTCCCTGACCATCCAAGTGGAGCAAGCAAAATCCCGCGGCAAACCTCAACAAGATGTCCGCGGCTCATGGAAGCCTGAAGACATTTCAGCACTACCCACTGATACCTTTGCCCAGTGGTTTCTTCATAGCCAACAGCCCAGGTCTAGTTCTGACTCCTATTGAAGTAGCCGAAGAGAGCCAGGTAGGATGCCGCACTGACGTGTGATCACCCAGTAATCCCGCCAGAGCAAACTGCAGGTACCACCCACCCCTTCCGATACAACCCAAAATCGCCCCTCAAGCTACAAAACACCCCAAACTTAACCTTATAGTCCCCCTTAAGTAGATAGAATATGCGGTATATGGGGATCTTTTTATAATATATCCAAAACCATATTCTATCTACTTAAGGGGGACTATAAACCTACCAAGCAACCCTTTAGACCCTGTTTGCCAGGCCCAGGGCCCCATGATTTGGTGCGTACGCAGCTGGCCCAGGCCCAACGGATCCATCAAGGATCCACTTCTCCGCCTTTCCATTGAATAGGGTTTAAGGGTTAAGGGTTTAGGGTTGAGGGAATAGGGGCCGGGGAGATTCTTGAGATCCCTAAGTTTTCAGAGAACCTTACCGGATGCTTGTAATAAAAATCGTCAACACAAAATACCGAGGGCGCGCTTATCCTGAGAAATGTATGTAAGAGAGTACGTATTCCACATGCGGATCCAGATCGAACGCAAATCTCGAGTTCGTGGGCATCAGGGCAAGTGGAGTTACGAGCCAGCTGCATGACTTAATGCATGACACTCAACGGTTGCCATAGCATCTTGAACAATAGAAACCTACCCAAAACTCATCAAGCCGCACTTCACAGTAGCCAGCACAAACTGAACAGACCAGCAGCATGAACGTGCCGTAGGCAACGCCACTGTCTCTATCACCTTTAAGCAAGATTCTTGTACTGCCTGAATCGCCGCTGAGAGGCGCTGCAATGATGCAGTTGGGAGATGCACAAAGATTTTGGCTTGAAATCTTTAGGAGGGGGGTTTAGGGTTTAGGGTATGTTGAGGTTCTTTGGGGATAATGGGAAGAAATGGAAACTACTATGGGGTTCAGGCTTTCAACAGGAAACCCTGCGGTTCGTACCATCAGGGCACAGATCACAATCCACAGGCAGAGCGCAAACACGCCAGATTTAACTTACCGTTGCGCTGGAGGTTGTCTCTGAAGCTCACCAACCACGTCGCCGTTGGTCTCGAGATGCGGGTAGTTGTCCAAATTATGCACCCTTTTCTTAGCCCCTATAGTATCTATCCTCTTGAAGGGGCTAGATATCCCTGATAACCCCTATACAATAACTTTAAAGGACTCTGCACCATCTTCTTCGTAATCTGGCACTTCTAAGTTTAGGGATCCGGGCCCTAAAGCTGCAACTTGTTATTGATAAACGCCCATATGATCCCGCGCGGTTTGAGGATCAGCGGTCCTGGGAGCGCACCTATACCTACCTACCTACCTACCTTGCCCTATGTACACATGTTCCCCTATATATATATGTATATATACTAGTTATACACATCCAAAAAAGGGTCGAATTTGACAAGCACCCATGTGATCAGCAAGCCAGCCCAGACTTGCCGGAGAAGGACCAAGCTTTTCTAGCACGGAATCCTGTGAGTTTATTGAGGGGTCTGTATCGGGGGATCTTGAGAAGCTAGATCATTTCAACAAGGCTATTGTTAGGATCCGACGATGAACAATAGCCACAACCGTCCCAGACGTAATCTTTCACGTTCCCATGCGATATGATGCTTGTAGTCTGTTGGATTCAGCTTCGTTAGCCGAGTGCTGGCCAAGTCTGACCGGGCGCGAGCCGCGTGATCTTGTTTCCTTAACAAAAACAATGAGCACTGTCCGGGCTCGTCACCTACTGGCCCCCCGCGGGGCGCGTTAAAACTAACCCAGACTCGCTCAATATCTCACTGCTGGCAGATGTTCTGCTTTCAGAACTGAAGGCACCTCCGATTTTGATGCCTGTCAGCCGGAAGATTCCCCCAGGAACTGAGCGACGGCTATGATAAGTGTCTCTGCCCATGTAAGAGTTTCGCTGGAGGAGTCAGGCTCGTGAAACGCAACAGGACCCGTTGGCTTCACAGAGTTTTGTTTTGCACTTGGAAAGCCAATCCATAAATCGAGAGAGGTTTCTGCGCACTCAAGTTTCATCTAGCCGATCAACAGCAGGGTAGCTGGCTATATTTTGCATTGGGGTGACATGCCCAAGCGTGCTGATGGCTTGCGCATCAAGAGGTTGCCCAAATTAGGCTGAAACCTCTGCGCAGGTCCATGCATCCGTACAATTCAGCGAGATCATATCATCATAGGTGGCTCTGCTGCTGCATGCAGCTTACTCCTCAATGTCTTTAGGTTGGGTTACTGCCCCCACCCAGTAACAGTCCATATTAGGGGTCCTACTAAGGGCTATATATGACCATATTATACTTATTCTCCAACTGTTACTGAGGGGTGAGGCAGTACCCAATGTTTAGGCTAGGGGCATGCCAGTCGCATGTGATGATCCAAAATACTGTGGACGCAACGCAGCAAAACGTTTTGAGACACGTGGTGGCATGTTTGCACTTGAATTCAGCGCTGCAATGTGCAGTGTACTCCTTCGGAGAAGCTGCACAAAGACTCACCTGCCTAATCCTAGCCGTCCTAGCCATGCAAGAATTCCACTCTTGTGGGCCTTGATGCAGGCATGGGAGAGACCCCCCGACCTCGCCAAAACCTGTGCTTCCATTGCAAGTTCCTTCCCCAGCCGACTGGATTTACAGCAAGAGCTAAGAGATGCCCATTCAGCTCAGCGAAAAAAGATCTCCTCATAAACCGGTGAAATTAGGCAAAACTGCGGTTAGCAAGAAGAATCTTCATCCGGCCTGGCATTTTGCCTTCCACCGGAAAATTACTACAGGCTCTGGATCTAAAGTGTGAACTCGACAGCTATGCGTAGATTTCCCTTAATATGCTGCAGATACAAGTACTGCAGTAGGATGCTATAAATGCAGGGTATCTAAGCTGGCCTCTTCCCTTGTGCTAGGTGATCATGGTGGTCTCCCTAAATGCGGGGACCCCAATACAGACCCCCAAAATACTATACTATAATCCTTGTTCTAGGGACCCCCACGTACCCCTAATTTTGGGAATCTCCAAACCCTAATCCCTAAACCCTTTAAGTCTCAATAAACTCCTTATGACCCCTATATACCCATTTGGGGAAACCCCTTTATTGGCTCGGGACCGGAAGCCTTCTTGCTTGGTGCACCCCGTGTTGGCTACCTTGGCAGAAGTCTTGGGGACCAGACAGGCTTCAAGGCCTGCTGGATTTGGGGATTTTAGGGTATTTTGTAGAGGTTTAGGGTTTTACTGTTTAGGATCTTAGGGTTTGGGGGGTTTGGATTTTAGGGTTTAGGATTCTAGGGTCTTAGGGTTGAAGGGTTTTAGGGCTTTAGGGTTGAGGGTAATATTGCCAGGACTCTTCGGGGCTTAATTAGCTTGATTATTTATGGTACAGGTAGCATGATGGAAGTTTTGCTGCCGAGGCTCGGGTAAGTTCTTGTGGCAAAATGGGAGTTTAGGAAATACAAGAATGGGCATCCCCTCGTATGACCCCAAAACCTTTCAGGTTTAGGTTTAGGGTTTAGGGATATAAGCATCCTGGTTTTAGGAACCCAAAACAAGTAACCCTAAATTTTGGAAGCCATCAAACTGAATGGCAGATTGGTGATTCAGGAGTTATGTCCTCCTTTGCTCTCCAAAGCGTCCTACTTGGGGCCTACTACCCATTTTGATTTTTGTCGGCCCAACTGATCCCTTATTCTGACTGGTTCTATGTAGGGAATAAGGGAATAGAATCCCTATATAACATCTATATAATCTATTCTCGTATTCCCTGCTAAAATCCAGTTCTGGAGGGTGTCAAATGTCTGGTGCTTTCACAGAGATTGTTCAGCGACTCTCAATATGGAGGTGTCTCAACACATCGACATGACACCCCCTACCTATTCACAGAAAGACACAGCGTAGAAGTAATCAGGATTCGATGGGATTGTTTGTGAGAACCTCCCCTATCCACAGGTTTTTCAGGCATCTTGCCACTTTAAGGCCGCGTTGGCAAGCCTAGGAACCTCCTCTCCGCATCTGTGCTGACTTGACACAGGTATACTTAGCAGCAATAACATCAATAACATCCATAGTAACACTTATAATAATTGGGGGCAGTTCAGAGCATGCAGGGACGTGCTGTGAAAGCGAGCCACAAACGGCCAATGATTTAGAGTGCTCAGCAGCAGCATCTGCAAGGGCGCTGCAATCCATGCATTTCACGTAATTGAAGCGGTATACCCTATCATAATCTTGCAGGCTCCATCCTTTTCCATCGTTCCCTATACAACCCGATATAACCCACATAGCTCCAACATATTAACTCAAGGCAAGGCTCGAATTTTCCGACATCATGCTCACCAGCAACCTCTGCCACGGCTGTGCGGAAGGGGCAAGATACTTTAGGAGGACCCCCAGTGGTATAATAAGAATATAAGAGGACCCTAATATAATCCCGATTATCCCTTATAGTCACTATTACTGGGTGGGGGGTGGACCCTAAACCCCTGTGGATGCATCAATCCAATGCGACCCCCAGCTGAGTCTGGAACTTGTCAAAGGCCTTGTGGAAGCGACCTGTCCTCAGCAACTCAGTGCTCTGCTAGGACTTCACAAATCAAAGAAGGCGCCGCGAGCAGAGCTCCTGTTGGGATAGTGCCTTTTGTGATAATAACAATAACAACAAAACTAATAATCGTAGTAATAGGAATGATAATAGTGATAATAGGAATAATAACACTGTTAGTAATAAGAATACTAGTAACAACAATAATAGTAGTAATAATTAGAATGATAGTGTAGTTTTGCCAGGGCACTGCGTGAGAGCGTACTTGCGCTCTCTCCCCAGCGCTTCGCGACGTTCCCACATCTCCTTTCCACAGCAAACCAAACAATATACCATAGTCCTTAGGGTTTGGGGGGTTAGGGTTAAGGGCCCCCAAAAAAAGGCCCTTTTTGGTCACCTTGCAGTGTTCCAGGTACTGAAAACCGCGAGGCCCGAACCGAATGATTATCAGTGCTGTCTTTCTACAGGTGCTAGCACTTGCGCAACTAGCCACTGGATTTGGGAGTTTCCCAAAATCACGGAACCCCAATTTAGACCCCAATATACTATACGCCTTTATTTTTGGGACCCTCAAGAAAAGTATCCCTAATGTTGGAAAACCCTGAGCCACTATGCATCCCCAGCTTCGTTTTCATTATCCATGTTCTTTTATGTTTCTCAATTATTGGGGTTAGACATCCCTGTATACCCCTAATCTCAGAAAACCCCTAAACCCAAGACCCCATATAACCAAACCCTAAACCCTAAACCCAAACCCCTAAACCCTAAACCCCCTTAAAAGGATTTCGGGGGCAAGCCTAACCAAGCT